CGATTTGTTAAACCGCGATTTGTCGATCGTAGTAGTTTTTGCTGACCTAATATCCATCTCCATCTTTGGGATGCCCTGAAGATGGGGACATAATGTTTCTCTGAAACGTTTGCATCTACCTGCGAGAGTACAGGGTGTCGTAACCCAGAAGACACTTATTATTCTTACCTTTTCTTTTAAGTAATTCCGCGAGAAGCTGATTGTCGCTCACCTTTAACGAAACCCGAAGGTACTTTACTGTGTCCACGAGAGCCCGCCACCGGTCCGAATGTGGAGACACGCGAGCTCAGTCCACACCCTCACACACACTTAATATCGTTCTTCAGGGATTTCTTGTCTCTCAGTCGCTGTGTTTCTTATAATCTTTTGTGTCTACATTTTTGTTCTCATTTGAAGCCATATTAAAACAGTCAGACAATAAAAGTTTTGTGTGTGCTTAGTCACACACGGAGTTATTTTACAGAACATTTATGATCACCCTGTACATTACGGGAAGTTTGTGGTAAATCATAGAAGTTTAATCACGTGGTTTAAAGGGGACAAGATGTAAGATCGCACTGGGCAAGGCTGAATGTGAAAATTGCTCCAAAGGAAATACAACTTAGATTAGTCGATTCAGAATAGGCTGGTCCCAGCCGTCGGACCTGCGGTGTTTTTTTTTTCTCCAAGCTCTGTGTGGTTTGTTATGAAGTGGAAACTATTGCATCTGTCCGTCTGACACATGAATAATGTATGGAGAGGAGCGTTGCAGTCAGCGCCAAGGAACTTTTCAGGTCGCTTATGGAAGGCGGTGACAGGTGCCAGGGCCTGCCACCTGTTGGACTACTTTGTCGACAGTTAGCAGGCCGGCAAAATGCTGAGGTCGCAAACAAATTTGAAACGTGATTCGTTTTGTCGTTTTGAAGAAAATATAGCTCGAAGCTAATACATGCGATTTAAAAATTATTACAGTTGCAAAATTGCGTACTGAATTAGAAATTTTTTTTTTCTCGAAATGCCTGATTTTTGGAAACATAAAATTTACGATTTTCGACGTCGTGTCTACAGAACGAACACAAACATCTTGTGGACTTGGCTGGCCGTGCTTAGGCACGCAGAACGCAGTCTTGATGGGCTGCTCGTTTAGCTGGTGATGTGGACGCAAGCGGACATCTTTGTTTCTGGCGACGCCACTTTGGCCTGCGGGCCGAAGTTCCTTTTGCCAAGACGCAGGCACTGGTTCTGCAGACCTTGGAGTCTCACCATAGCGTTAGAATGTTTCAAGTTTGCCTTGAATTAACGTGGCCTTGCGCACAGTTTGAACTGCACTTCCCAACATACGAGCAAACAAACGCTGACATAGCCGAATGTAAACACAGCTGATCGTGAGCTGTGCCATCTTACCGTTGTTTCGTTTTCACACGGGAGAGGCGCCAGGCGTTCAACACTCTTAATTTTTATCAGCAGACTCAGAGAGTTGCTTAGTGGATATTTCTGTTTTATTCAAAGCAATTCTATCGCTGAACCAGTCGCCTGCCGTCTTCTTCAATTCGTGGCCCTTCTAAGACAAGGCTGATCCTCCAGGCAAATTCAGGCCATGACCGTTTCCTTTCGTATCCTCTTCAATTCATTAATCTCCTCGTTCGGAGCTCCGGACAGCGTCGTCGAATAAGCACACCGATGTCGCAGAGGAGAGTATCTGGGCGGCAAAATAGCATTAGGAGGAGCGAAGGGTTCCGAAGGATCGCACGTGGTGTATCCAGTTGGGGCGCGTTCTTCGCGCTCAGATTATTATCGCACCGCCGCCCCCCCTCGTCGGTCAACGTAGCATTCAGCGTGATTCGCCATCAAGCGCTTGCGACGTGCGTGCTGTTTGTTTACCCCTGCACTAGGCCGTGTTTGCGCTTTGATCCGGCGGCGGGCGAGCAAATAGAGACTTTATTTTAATCCGGCCGGAGGTGCAGTTACTTGCGTGAGCTCTGGGCAATTTGGTAGACATTAAATTTTGACGGAAGAATTGCTGTTGGCGCTGACAGCTTCAGACCCGTTTGAAGCTGAGGGTTTGTGAGTATTTCTCTGCCCCGTGATGACGTGTCTTTTGTGGACTTCCCTCAGGCCTTTGCACTTTGTCGTCAGTAGTATCAACATGGAGGACGCGCGAAATTTGCGCACGACTACGGACTTAGCATTGGATCAGCACTTTGCATTATCCGTGGTGATAAGTCGTTGAAATATTTGGGATTGAATACAGGGAAATTTGAATCAAAACTGAAGACAAAACAAAAAAATATATAATTTTGACTGACAGACCGTGGGTATCGTAAATGCTGTTTAGTGTTTACAGTTGAAAGAGTCCTCCTTGAGAAGCCGACAGTGGCACAGCTAGTCACGAAGTTCCCCTCTGTTTGTACATTCCTGACATTAATTTCTGTGTCCGTAAGTGCCCGGCTCTGGCCCTTATACTCAGGCATTTGAATTAAGTACACGCCCTATTTCGGTAAGATGCACTTTAATATTATCCTCCCATCTATACCCAGGATTTTTGACTGATTTCTGTACGCGTTGTCTGCAGACAGTGTTGATATGTGCACGTGTTCCTGCGCACACGCAGTTCATTGAGACGTTTGAGCTGAACACGTGTACTACACGTGTTTGTGCGAAGTTCACTGCTCAGTTTCTGAAAGGCGCGATGTCGGAAATTAAGTTTTTGGACCCACGAAAAGAACGTACGAGGTGCGATCGGAAAGTTTCCAGACTGCGCGTATAAAAACCCGTACACTTATCTCAGGTATTAAATTCATCCATCCCCAAATGCGTGCTTTAGCATTTCATAGGTTTCCGTAGCCGTTTTGGCGAGTCTTTGGCAAGAGATTCAGGCAGAATCGCAGATGGTGCTTGACAGGCTGACAAAGAAAGATTTCCAGGGATGCTTCCAGGCTTGGCAGCGGCGCTGGGATCGTTGTGTTCACTCCCAGGGGAACTACTTCGAGGGTGATGGATGCATTTAATACCTGAGATAAGTGTACGGGTTTTTATACGCGCAGTCTGGAAACCTTCCGATCGCACCTCGTGTTTTGGGAAGTAAGACAAGACAATAGATCAGAAATCGGGAGTTCTGGCACGGGCACGGGAGCTGCTTCGTGGGCCACACCCACCCTTTCGCAGGTCCAGTGCGTGCGTGTGCTATCGGCGATAAGCTGGAGACGCGTTGGGTTAGGCTAGTTCAGGAGGAGCTCGTGGACACGGGCACCAGGAAGAGCTGCAGAGCATTTGAAACAAGCGACGGACGAATCACGATTGACTGGCTGCCTCGCGCTTCTCCGTATTTGTTATTTCCCTACGTTCAGATTAGTTCTGAATTGGATTCTGTGGTTGTTATGGTAACGTGCCGTAGGTACGACCTCGCGATCCACGTGCTGCAGCCCCTCCCTGCCCTGCGGGACACAGGGCGACAAGGCCACGAGGTCTGCTCCTGCAAATTTGTCGAAGGACCGGAACAATCGAAATTCCTGCTCGTGGCCGACCACATCACACGCGTTGCTAAGTAACGGCGTCAGTTATTCCCTGGTTTTCGACTTTGGTGGCGTGCCGCAACGTTCCTTCGGCCGAACTCCGTGAAGAATGCTTTTTCCCTCTTGAGCACGGGGACTGACGGGACGGTTCCCCCCTCCCCGTCCTCCACAAACCCTTTGTAATGAAGAAACAGTTACATGAGATTTCAAAAAGTAGAAATCGCTTTTAAATGTTTGGGAAGCACCAACTGTCCGCGGGGCAGAGACCTCCGTGAGAATTGTCTTGTTTTCGTAAGCCCGTATTCTTCTAGGGCAGGGATTTGTCTGTCGATACATATTTGTGGCCGTGTAAGGTTTTGTACGCCCTGCTCGTGATGTGTCAGTTTGTCTTTGACAAATAGGGCGTGCGTGCTGCTAGTGAGAAAAAGGTTAGGGAGCCGCACCAAGTTTTACACCCACATAAACAGTAACAAAAAGAGCTCACCGTCTCCCGGGAGAGATAAATGCTTGACGCACGGATTCTGCGATGCGCCGGAAGTCTGTCCGTCTGTCGAATGCAGGGTACAAGAGCGCGAGGGGAAGACGAACACTGGCCAAGACGGACGGAGCGTTTGTTTCCGTAAAGTGAACCGGATATGGCTGGAATGCGATTTTATCCTCCTTCGCCGCGCGGCTGCGGCAACTTCTCCGACTCCTCTGTCACGCGTGCAGTCTATACGCTGCTGTGCAGGCGGTTCTAAGTGGGCCGTATCCTGTCAGCGCGCTACTGCGTCTACGAGTATCCTTACCACTGCTGTGGGTGCATCTGCACTGGCCACAGGGCTGTCCAGCAGAAGGTGCGGAGGGCCAGATCGAGCGGATGAAGCAGGCTGGCTTTTAGAGTCGTCGGGTTTTGACGGCGGGGAAGATGTTGGATGCGAAGGTGGTTACAAGCGTTTCGGCAGCAGTTATCGCCTCCATCTGCAGGGTTTAAGTGCGCCCCATGTTTATATTTCTTTGTGTATTCTTCACATCACTGAGGAGAACATTCTCCAACCTCGAAGGTGGAGGAGATACATTCCTCCGAAACACTGGTAACCATGTCATCACACGTCAGAGGACCACAATCTGCGTCTTTATTACTTACGTGGTTTTCTTCATGCACGCCATTGTCTCTCTGATGTTGGTCCTTCGACAACATAAGACGACGGTTTGACCGTTACAGTATTTAAGGACGCTGTATCAACTGCAGCGAGTGGGCCAAGTCTGTTTTGAGCCGGCATCGTGTGTACATGGCAGAAGCAGCAACTTCTGTCGGACAGGGTTCGTCCGTCTGTCTGTCGGATTTTGTTGGTCCCTCTCAGACAGTGTTTTGAAATGGGCCGTGGCCGCCCGTTGTCACATCATTTCTCGCCGCACTTAGGCGCATTGCATGCTAAGTAAACTTAGAAGTACATGCACTGTCGTTAAGTAAAGTAGGAAACCAGAAAAATTTATGAACAGTGTACATCATCTTTCTGTTTGTTGCAGAGAGGTGTGGACGCGACGGGAGGACGGAGGAAAATCAACGTATGTCTCAGCAGGTGAGTGTCGTCCCTGATCTGGAATCTGCTTCGTTTTCAGTAGACCCCAATTCCAAATCTCGGCCCACAGACAGGCTATCGTGACTTAAGTTATTCGTGAATCGCCACTTCATAGTCCAGTCACCTTATTTTTCGATGTTACGTAACGTGAGAAATTGAAAGCGTCGTTAAATTGACGAACGATATATGAAACGAACACGAACGTATTCCATTGCTCCCAGGCTTAGCGGGAACCATGATTTCTTGGAGCCGAGACACGATCTGCCCGCCCGTAACATCCAGTGGCTACCTGTTGGCTGATCCCGAAGACAACTTCATCAGCCGCTGAATCTGTCTGATTGCATGATGCACCTTTACAGCTTCCTGTGAAGCTCCGGTGTTCACCACTTCATTAACAAAGCCGGTCATTAAGACACCGTCAAAGAGAAATTTCCCCTTCTACGGATCGTAACTCTTTTCTTTGGATGACGTCGAGAGAAGTAGAAACGTTTGCACTTCGAATTACTGAGTCATCCATCACGTTGAAGGATCGGGTACGTCTTGTAGCAACAAGTAGCGACGAGGGACGTGAATCTTTGTTTGGCTCTGCGATGCCCTTGCCGGCTTCATTAAGGAGCGTCTGACACAGAGCACGCGCGTAACGCGGAAGCAACTTGCTATTCTATTTCTGACTGAAACCCGTAGATTATCAGTAACTATCGATAATAAATATTATAATGTAGCTATTCATGACAGCTTTTCTTGGCAACAAAAAATTGTAGTTCACAACATAGTTGGTGCTCTCTTAGACGAGAGTCACGTGAACTTACCAGTCCGCCACTGCAGTCTGCCCCTCCGAGGGCCTTCTGCCTCGTGTCTCATGTACCTGGAACTTCCTTTGAACTTTGCATTTCCTGCTTTCCGGAAGACAACTAAGTACGACTTTTACATTTGCTACAAATTTGATTTCGCTTGTTTTCAAATATTTTTAAGCCTTGTTGCCGCATGCCCTGTCAGTCTCTGGACGTTATGGTTTCTGTGTAGGCCCTTCGCGTTTTATTATAGACGTTGCCTGTGTAAGGTTAGGTTCAGTGGCGCGGGATTAATTAAGACTCCGGAACACGTCAGAGAGCCTAATCGATTAAGTATTTCAGAATTACGCAAAAAATTGGGGTTATCTTTTCGTCATTGCATGTGCATTCTAATACTTACAGAGAGTAAATTTGTGCCATGACGGAGATGCTACAATGCGACTGTAAACTCTAATTGTGCATCTAATGCACCTTATAAATTCTACCGCCCGAAACGTCCCTCAGTTTCAGTGAGATCATGCTCCGTGGAACACTGCCCTTCTTGGCAAACTGATAGTCAGTTTACCAAGAAATTTCTTGCCTTCTGTGGTTCACGGTTTTAGAACCGCGTTTACAGGAGACCTGTGTCCGAGCGTTTGATACTACCGGGTGTCTGTCAGAACTTTGCCCCCTGTTCTGCAAGGAACGCTTACTGTGTGTTGTCCAGTGATCGATGTCAGCTGTTCCTGACGAGCTCAACTGAATGGACACGCCCCATTTCTTACCTGAGGGTGGGACATCCTATTTCCGATACGCCGTGTTGTGTTTGGAAATTAGTCACATGTTGGACAGAGTCGATAAACCCATTGTCATGCCCTTCCACCCCTTGTCGGCTGTCCGATACTGATTTTTTTTAATATATTCGCAGCGTCCCTCCATGTCTGAATCTGTCGACGAGTAACCTGCGGTTGCGTCCTTGCCTTGGTGTCAGGGATGTTCGTGGTTGTGCCACTTGTTCAGAAGATGACCAGCTCGTTCTAACGCGATGACAATAGAAGTCATTTAAATTACAATAGTAATTCGCAGTGGAGACGCATTGAGCCTCAGTACTGTCAGTACGTACTGACTCCAGCCAGTCGACATCGTTTGGCTGTGTTTTCTGCCCTAGACGACGTCGAAGTCCGTTCTGTTGTCCCGTCCACCGGCATTGGGTCACTACGATCAACACTGAACAGAATAGGACGATTTTAGATTGGCCTGTTCTCAGTAGTGCGTAGTGATCTGAAGGTGGAGACGGTGTGTCCTCCGAATTGCCAGTCGCCGATATAAGACGACGCGACGTCACAGCTGTAAAGAACGCCTTGTGGATCTCCATTTCTTGTCGTCGAATCTGACCATAAAAGTCACATATTTTGAGAGATTTGTTTGTTGAGCGCGGCCGATTGGTTAGCATTTCTGTTACGTATTCGGGAGGTCCCGCGTTCCATTCCCTACCCTGAGGTTCAGTGTTTGCAATCGAAATTCTCCCCTACGCGCTCCACATGCTCGGCCCATCTCGTCATTCTCGGTACGTGACAGAGAAGTGGGAAGAGATGGAATAGTTGCATTTGTGTCTTCGCAGTGCAGGTTCTGAAAATGGTAAAAGTAGCTGTAATGGAATTTGCATAATGAGTAGGGGCTAATTATTTTCGCGGTGTCTTAAAAAGAAACATCAATTTGCACTAATTATAAACGTTTGTTGTGTTTACGTTTAGCTTTGGCCATTGTCTGCGGTACGTTTTATTTATCGACACGACGTTTCGGGAGTTGGGTTTACTCTCTTCTTCAGGTTATTTGTTTTCATCATATTCATAAATTTCTTTATTCCACGATTGGTGGCGACGGTTGAGATCGAATCTGAGACGTTTCGGAAACTGGGGTAGTATGACATCAGACGATGCTTTGCTTTGGGGGAGTTGGCGACAGGAGACGTTGGGGTAGCGTCTAGTTCCTGAGATCTTGTTTATCGCGTAATGTTGTGTTATTTCGTCGCCAGCAGAGAAAGCACTTAAGTATTTTAAGCTTTAGTCGTATTAACGAAAGCCAAGGCGTAAGTGACGCTGCCCAGTGCGAGACGCCCTCGTATTTCAGTGAGCCGTCGACCGACCGACCGGCCGGCCGGCCGATCCAGTCAGTGTCTGAGTTCCGCAGCCACATTGATCGCGCGGAGGCTGCATTACATCGAGTTAGTCTAGACAAACTATAGGCGGCAGTCACTCTCAAACCCCGCACGGACGGGCCGCGGTATGTTCCTTCGACTTCTTTAAAGTTCTGACCGTTCCTGGCTTCAATTATGAAAGCGAGATGGGTGAAACGCGGGTAGCATGGGCCCCTTTAATGGCGACTAAAGCGAAGGTACGAGGTTTTGTCAGAACCTGCCCGCGTATGAGTTTCGACCCCCGACAAGTTCGTCTCTGTTTCAAATGGGCGGTTGTGATGGACGGATCTTGGGTCTGTACATTGAAACGTGTCGTCGTAAATTTGGTTTGTAGCTAGATATCGGTACTGCCAACGAACCAGAGCGAAAATACCTCTGTCCGCTCTTTTCAGCCTCTGAACCCTTTCTGTGGTTGTAATGAAAGTTGGTAGACGTGCGTTAACAATAAATGTAGAAGAGCAGACATTGTTTTTTTTTTTCGAATGGGCGCTGACATACGTCGTACGTCCTTATTGAAAAAAAGCCCTTTTTTAATGGTAATATGACGACCCTGTAAATTACCGCGAGCCGTGTGGCTGGAACTGTAAACACGTCGACTGCTCACAACAGCAAGGAGAGATGACGCCGTTCATGAGCATTGCGCCGTGTAGTAAGGGCATCGCCCTGATGACGGAGGCAGTACGAACCTCTGAAACGTCGCTCAGCGTCCGCCACACTACCCATAAGTTCGCGAAATCCTGAAATCTCACATCGAAAGGTCATGGAAAATGCAATTAATTTCTCTTTGATTTTATTGTTTGTTTGTTTTCATATGAAGGGATCTGCTGTCAACGCATTCCATTAGCTATGACAGAAATGCGAAATTGGTGGCTTTGAGACGTAATTTACACACGAAATTCTTGGAACTATGTGTAAATAGAATTTTAATATCGAATACGAGAATAAATACAGAAAAATATTCAGCATTATTTTGATGCGAAGTTGGATAGGCAGATTTACTATGCAACGTGTGACCGACCCCTCGAGTCAGTGTTCTGCCCCCCCCCCTTCCCGCGCGACACACCCCCGCGCGACACACACCCACGTCACAATAAAAAAGTTGCTTGTCCTTTCTTGTTATTACTACACTGACGCAAACTCTTTCAGAACCGAACCTGCTCCCGCCCCTGGATCTAGGAAGTGTATCGCCCTCAAGAGGAATGTGTCCCCTGCAATCATAAATAGCTCTAATAAGAACTACCACAATAATTCTTGTTATTGGATCCGTGAGAACGCTTTGTAGCGCCCGTGCCTGCAGTGAGCGCTTAGTCTCATGTCCGGGCTTTAAGTAGCGCAAAGTTGCGACGTACTCGCTGATGTGAACGTCCTGGATGTTTGTTTATATAAGTTTACATGAGTGACGTCTTCATATAATTCTCACTAATCTCTGTTTGAATATCAAGAACTTAAATCCAAGGCGTGCGAAATCTGAGTTCGAAATCGTAGTTACATTTTCGTATGTCCTAATTTAAATAATATCCAATAGTATTAATTATTTGATAACATTTCTAAGATAACAAAGGATTCCTGTACAGATGTCATTGGCAAAACGGTGGCTTTGCGTACAAACTGTATACGAACCGTTGTCCCCTCGCGTGACACATGTCCTTGTCGCTTCTCCTCCCCAAATACGTTTTCTTCCTTGTCTTGTCGAAACGTCCATTCCGGACGACCGGAGTTCATTTCGTGGCAGCCAAATCAACGCGATTCTGGGGCCCTCCAAACATCTTCTCCGGAGGACACGTGAAAGATGTTTGCTCTGAGTTTATCCTGAGAAATATCGATTCAGTTCCTTCGTCTGTGTGAGACATTCCTCCTCTCGGACGAACGAACGAATTTCTTATGCATATCGATTACTGTAGTGTCACATCACATTCCTGGCGAGCCCAGGAAATAGCACGCGATCGCTGATTGGTGTGAAAACTGCCCTGTGCATTTGGTAAACTTCTAGCGTTGTATTTGACCGGAAATGACCGTCCTCGATGTCAGCCGAC